CACTGGATTTGGCAGTATTGAGGCACGTGTGAACTGGTGAGGCAGAAACCATGTTACAGTGAGGGTGAGTGGCAGGTGGGAAATGGAGATGGGGGCAGTTGGATATACAGGTCTTGGAGCTCAGAGAAAAGATTTGGGCTAGAGATACAGGTTTGGAATTCATCTATTTTTAGGTGATCATTGAAGCCATGGGCCTGGATTTAATCACTTAGGGGGAGAGAGTAGAGAAAGAACAGAAACAGGCCTAAGGCCCAGCCTTAAAGAACTCTAAGGATACTGTACAGGTAAGGAAATGTATAAAGACAGAAAAGGAGTAGCCAGAGAGCAGGTGAAAAACCAGAAGACTGGTATTATATTACCTAACCCAAGGATAAGAATGAAGAAGGGGAGTGGCCATCAGGGTTGGATGCTGCTGGAAGGTCAAGTGTGATGCCTGAAAAAAGGCCGTGGGGGGACTTCCCTGGCGGTCCAGTGGTTAAGACTCCACACTTCCATTGCAGGGGGTGGGGGTTCGATCCCTGGTCTGTGAACTAAGATCCCACCTGCCATGTGGCACAGCCAAAAAATATTTTTTTAAAAAAAGGCCATGGGATTCAGTGACTTACAAATCATTGATGACCTGGAATGATAAGGAATGAAAGCCAGACTGGGCTGAGAATGGAAACAGCATAGACAACTTTTCAGAGAAGTTTGGCAGTGAAAAAATGGTGATGATAAAGGGTATTGGGGAAGGATTTTTTTTAATATGAGAAATACTAAAGCATGTTTAGAAGCCAAAAGGAAAGAACTGAGAAAGGATGAATACCCAGGGGAAGTGATAACCACTAGTGTAGGTTTCCTGAGAAGGCAGGTGAAAAGGGAACCTGTTGGCAGCTTAGGAGAAGCATCACCCCAGCACCATCAGTCATGAGTTGGCATCACTTGCCTCTGTACCCAGCCTGGGGCCCGTTGCCAGCCCTCTCACAGTTGTTTTCATGTCAGTGCCTCCCTTTCTTGTTCTGCTTGCTGCCCAGTCCAACTCATTAAACCACACTTCCCCACCCCCTCTTTTTTTTCTTTTAACTAATTAATTAATTTTTGGCTGCGTTGGATCTTCATTGCTGCATGTGGGCCTTCTCTAGTTGTGGCAACTGGGGGCTTCCCTTATTGCAGAGCACAGGCTCTAGGCACACAGGCTCTAGAGCGCAGGCTCAGTAGTTGTAGCGCATGGGCTTAGTTGCTCCGCGGCATGTGGGATCTTCCCAGACCAGGGCTCGAGCCCGTGTCTCCTGCATTGGCAGGCGGATTCTCAACCACTTTGCCACCAGGGAAGCCCCTTCCCACCCCCTCTTAAATTTCTTCCATTCACTTATGTATTCACTTAACATTTACTAGTCACTGACTGTGTGGAGGCCCTGGGGTTCAAGGACTCAAGTCCTTGTCCTTGAGGAACCATGGGCCAGTGGTGTCAAGAGACAACCAGAAATAACCAGGGCACAATGCACCATGTGAGAGGGGCTGTGATGACGGCCTGGGGTGGGAGTCTCCTTCCCCTAAGCTGCCAGGTGTTGTTGAAGAAAATCCCTAAACCAGACAAACTGCTGAGACTGCAGGAGGGCCCTCCCTCTTGATAAGCAGTTGATTCCATTTTTGCCTTCTTCGGACACAGGTTTGATTTCTTTGGAAATGAAGACAGGATGGAGACAGCTCAGACACTGGATATCTGAACATTCATCAAGCACCTCCTATGTGTTGGCACTAAGGCCACAGTTGTAAACAAGGTCCCCACCCTCCAGATGCTGACAGCCCTGGAGAGTTTGCTGCTCTGGTGGAGAGAAGCGATTCTAAGGGAAGTAGGCATGAGAAGTTCAAGGAGTGAGGGCAGTGGGAATAGCTACCTCCAGGGCAGTGAAAAGGGAGTGGCTTGGGCATTCATGAGGCTTTCATGCCTTCAAAATCGGGAACCACACCTCCTTGCCCAGCAGGCATATACAAGGTAGTCCTGAGGCAGTAATTTAACTCTGATTATAAATTAAGATCTAGGGCTTCCCTGGTGGCGCAGTGGTTGAGAATCTGCCTGCCAATGCAGGGGACACGGGTTCGAGCCCTGGTCTGGGAGGATCCCACATGCCGTGGAGCAATTAGGCCCGTGAGCCACAATTACTGAACCTGCGCGTCTGGAGCCTGTGCTCCGCAACAAGAGAGGCCGCGATAGTGAGAGGCCCAGGCCCGCGCACTGCGATGAAGAGTGGCCCCCGGGCTTCCCTGGTGGCGCAGTGGTTGAGAGTCCGCCTACCAATGCGGGGGACACGGGTTCGTGCCCCGGTCCGGGAAGATCCCACATGCCGCGGAGCGGCTGCGCCCGTGAGCCATGGCCGCTGAGCCTGCGCGTCCGGAGCCTGTTGCTCCGCAACAGGAGAGGCCACAACAGTGAGAGGCCCACGTACCGCAAAAAAAAAAAAAAAAGAGTGGACCCCGCTTGCCGCAATTAGAGAAAGCCCTCGCACAGAAACGAAGACCCAACACAGCCAAAAATAAATAAATAAATAAATAAAGGAGTTCCTTTAAAAAAAATCACAAACCCTTTAAAAAAATTGATTAATTAAAAAATAAATTAAGATCTAACTTCCTATGGTATTCACAGACCTTATCTCAACTAGTTCCATAGGAGAAAGAATAGAGGAGTTTTGTGGCCTTTTGTTGGTATATAGAGGCTCTATATGTTGCATGTTTTTATGGAGGTGGCCCAGAATTTTCTTTACTGTCTCTGGGACTGTCCTCTACATGACAAAAATTTATTATGACCATTTATATCCTTATTAAGGAAGGCAAGGTAGCAAAGACAGGCTGAGATTTGGTGAATTCTTAGAAAATATGTACCGACAATACCTAGGATTGGCCATCCTTAGAAATCTCACAGAGCTCATTTATTCATCCACCAAATATTTATTAAGCTTATACTACAGAGGCATGGTTAAATACATGATTGTTTATTGCTACTGTAATGCATGATGTATTATCTATATTTCCAGACTTTAAGGCTATCCTCCATACCTCCAGCCCTGACCAATCCCTTGATCTCAGATGCAGCTCCCTACCGGACATCACCCAATGACCCCAAATATCCCTGGCCCCAAATTGAACTCAACGTTCCTCCCATCCTCTTGCTTCACAGAGGATGTGAACCACCTACTCACTCAGCACTGAGGATCATGTCTGATTCCATCCTCACTCCCCAAGGCCGCTCAATCATCCTGTGCCATTCATCTCCTTCCTCTCCAGGCCTTCATTGCCCTAGTTCAAGCTGCCATCATTCATGCAGTCACTTATTCATTTGCCAATTTTTGAGCACACACCATGTACCATTCATGTTCTAGATTCTGGAATTACATCAGTGAATGAAACAGACAAAATTCCTGCCTTCATGGTACTTACATTGAAGTGGAGAGAGAAAGTAAATATATCAAGCAAAATATGTATTGTTAGAAAGTGACGGGTGCTTAGGAGAAAAAATAAATCAGGGGAAAGGAGTATGATGTTCATGGATAGGGGTTGAAAGGCTTCAATGAAAAGATGACTTTTTAAAATATTTATTTATTTGGCTGCATTGGGTCTTAGTTGCTGCGTGCGGGATCTTCGTTGTGGCATGCGGGATCTTTAGTTGTGGCAATGTGAACTCTTAGTTGCGGCATACATGTGGGATCTAGTTGCCTGACCAGGGATCAAACCCGGGCCCCCTGCATTGGGAGCACAGAGTCTTAGCCACTGGACCACCAGGGAAGTCCCAAGAAGATGACTTTTGAATAAAGAGTTGAGGAGGAAATGAGATAAAGAAGAACCAGAAAAAAGAGATTCTGAAGGAGCAGGCAGAAGGATAGGAAGAAAACCAAGTGTTCTGTCCTGGAAGCCAAGTGAAGAAAGTATTCTAAGGAAAGGTCAACTAAGATAAATGTTGATAGGTCAGATCAGATCCGAGAAATTAACTTAGGATTTAGCAACACAGAGGTCACTGATGATCTTAAGTACAGTTTCAGCTTGAGTGCTAGGTGAAAACCTGATTGGAGTGGGCTCCAGAAAGGATGGGTACCCACTAGGATGGCTGTAATTTTTTTTAATGGAAAATAATAAGCATTAGTGAGAAAAATGTGAACTCTCATGCAGTGTTGGAGGAAATGTAAAATGGTGTAGCCATTGTGGAAAATACCCCAGCAGTTACTCAAAAGGTTAAACAGAGTTACCATATGACCCAGCAATTCCACTCCTAGGTATATATCCAAAATAATTGAAAACAGTTACTCAAACATAATTGCACACCACTGTTTATAGCATTATTCATTATAGCCCAAAACACAGAAGCAACCCTAGTGTCCATCAACTGATAAATGGATAAACAAAATGATTATGTCCACACAGTGGAATATTATTCAGCCATAAAAAGGAAAGAATTACTGACATGCCACATGAAGGAACCCTGAAAAATTGTGAAGGAAGCCAGACACAAATGGCCACATAATGTATGATTCCATTTATATGAAACGCCCAGAATATTCAAATCCATAGAAACAAAGTATGTTAGTGGTTGCCTAAGGCTGTGGGGGAGAAGGGGAATGGAGAGTGACTGCTAATGGGCACAGGTTTCTTTTGGGGGTAATGAAAGTGTTCTGGATTAGATACCAGTGGTGGTTGTACAACCTTGTGAACATACTAAAACCCACTGAACTGTACACTTTAAAATGGTGAATTTTATGGTATGTGAATTATAGCTCAAAAAAAAAAAGAATGAGGAAGTAGTAAATATAGACAAATCTTTCAGTTTTGTTGTAAAGGAAGGAAAAGAGCAGTAGTTGGAAAGGGAGTCGAGGTAAAGAGCAGGTTTTTAAGATGGGAGAAGCAACGGCGTATTTATTTGTGTGCTGATGGGAACAATCCAGGGAAAAGCAGGGACAGAAAGGGAGGAACTGCCAGAGGCAGGTTTCTGAATAGGTGACGGGGGTTAGGATCCATTGTAGGAACGGGATGAAGGCAGAGGATTCGAGTACAGTGCTGGTAGCTGGGATGTGGTAGGTGAGTTATGGAAGTTCTCCTGTCATTGCTGAAGTTTTCTTGGTGGCTAGGAAGCAAGGGCATCCCTGAGAGTGAGAATGGAGGAAGAAGGGTTAAAACTGTCATTTAGGCCAAAAGTGAACCAAGCCTGGCCACTGCCTATTTGTGTACAGCCTGCTAAGAATGGCTTTTATATTCGTAAATGATGGAAAAAATCAAAAGAATAATATTTTGTGATACAAAAGAATTCTACAAAATTCAAATTTTAGTCTCCATAACTAAAATTTTATCGGAACCTGGTCACACCCACTAGTTTATGTACTGTCTAGCTACAGCAGCTGAGTTGAATAGTTGTAAAAAACATCATATATATATGTCGCCTGCAAAGCCTAAAATATTTGCCATCAGAAAATGTTTGCCAGCCCCTGGCCTAGGCCCTTGCTGATCACAGGCCAGCAGCATGCAGGTCACCTGGGAAGGTGTCAGAATCTGTAGTCTACGAAGATCCCCAGGTGACTCATGTGCACATTAAAGCTTGAGGAGCACTGCTCTAGGAGAATGGGAGGGTGGCTGCACTGGAGAAATGTAGAACTGTGGGGTAGTCTTCAGGGCCCACTGGAAGTCAGTGGTTGTGAACCCGGAGCGAGGTCAGTCGGTTTCCTCCAGGCTCATTCAGCTGTCAGCAGCACAGGCTGTCGGGCAGGTGGAGGACTGCATTTACTAGGGTTACGGTCTCTCCAGGCAAGTACAAAGAAGGGCAGGGTGCGGACGAGTGAGCGGCTGATACAATTTAAGCTAAATAAGGAGGGAAGAGGAGACACGGAGGGGCAGCGGAAGGAACAGGGAAATGGCATAGCTTCAATGGAGGGGTGGTCCCGGTGGGGTGGGAGCATCGTCGTCAGTGCTGGGGTCCTAGAGAAAGTCAGCTGCAAGGACATCAGAGAGTGGGATCATGCCAAGGTCAAAGGGCTGGCAAGGGAGCAAGTGGCTGCGGTGCAGCGGAGGACGGGGTCACCGGAGGAGAGGAAGCCAAGGGGCCGCAAGTGGGTACTGAACTCACCAGGAACCATGACAGGAGCAGTGTTGGAGAGAGCGGCAGTGAGCCAGGAGCTAAATCTGCAAGGAATGACAGGGAGAGACTGGGAGGGACTGGGAAGCAGCTGCAACAAAAAAGAGCATCTTTGTGCTGGGACTGCAGCGGTGGCCCCCGTGGGTCTCCTTGCCTCCACTCTTACCTCCGCTACCATCTGCTCTCGGCACAGCTGCCCAAGCGATCTTTCTAAAATAACCACGTAACTGCTGCTTGCCCTTCAAAAGCTTTCAACGGCTCCCATTTGCCTTCAGCAGTCATTTTGAAGCTCTACTCTGAGGAACCCTCTTGGCTGGGCAGAAGTGCTTCAGGGGTTCCTCAAACAAGAAGTGTCCAAGTCAAACAGTGAAGCTGTCAACTGCCCTGAGGGGCCTGTTCTTCTGTTTTGTCTGTTTGAGGTATTTGACTTCATTTGTTGATTCATTCATTCATTAAATATTTATTGAGCACCTACTATGTGTGAGGCACTGTTCTAGGCTCGGAGAAGACAGCAGTGAACAAAACACATAATCCAAGCCCTCATGGAATTTACATTCTAGGGAGGGAGTCAGGCAATAAAGAAAGAAAATAGGGACTTCCCTTGTGGTCCAGTGGTTAAGACTCTGCACTTCCAATGCAGGGGACTGGGTTTGATCCTTGATTGGGGAACTAAGATCCCACATGCTATGCAGCCAAAACTTAGAAAAAAAAAGAAAAAAATATACGTGGTGTTGTAAGCTCCACGGAGAACAATAAAGCAGGAGTGGGGGGTGGGGTGGGGGTGGGGAACGCTCAGTGAGGGCAGACGCTGCGCTTTTATTTTTTAATTTTTTACTTTTTTGTGGTACGTGGGCCTCTCACTGTTGTGGCCTCTCCCGTTGCGGAGCACAGGCTCTGGACGCGCAGACTCAGCTGCCGTGGCTCACGGGCCCAGCCGCTCCGCGGCATGTGGGATCTTCCCGGACCGGGGCACGAAACCGTGTCCCCTGCATCGGCAGGCGGACTCTCAGCCACTGCCGCACCAGGGAAGCCCGACGCTGCGCTTTTAGATGGAGAGGGCGGTCAGGGAAAGCCTCAAGGAGAAGGGGGTGTGAATCAAGCCCTGAAGAGACTGACGGAGGAAGCTCCCAGGCAGAGGGAACAGCAAGTGCGAAGTCCCCAAGACAAGAACGTAACGGCCACTGTGGCCCAAACAGAGTGAGCTGAAGGTGAGAGCAGCTGGAGATGAGGTGGGGGGGGGGGGGGGGGGGGTGAAAGGGCCTGATGGCACTTGCCCCTTGCAGGCCGTTGTATGGACTTGGATTTTTACCTGAGTGAAATTAGCCATTAGAGCCCCTCTGAGCAGAAGAGTGATGCGATCTGACAGGTTTTAATAGGATCACTCTGGCTGCTGTGTTGAAAAGACAGTGTAGGGGGCAGGGTCAGAAGAAGGGAGATTTTTGTAATGATCCAAGTGAGAGATGGTGGTGTGTCTTTTTTTTTTTTTTTTTTTTTTTTTGGCTGGGTTGGGTCTTCGTTGCTGCGTGTGGGCTTTCTCTAGTTATGGCGAGTGGGGGCTACTCTTCGTTGTGGTACATGGGCTTCTCATTGCAGTGGCTTCTCTTATTGCAGAGCACGGGCTCTAGGCATGGGGTCTTCAGTAGTTGTGGCTCGCGGGCTCTAGAGAGCAGGCTCAGTAGTCATGGAGCACGGGCTTAGTTGCTCCGCGGCATGTGGGATCTTCTTGGACCAGGGCTCGAGCCCGTGTCCCCTGCATTGGCAGGCGGATTCTTAACCACTGCGCCACCAGGGAAGCCCTCATCTATAGTTTTATCTGTAGACCCATATAAAAGTATTTTTAATTTATATTGAAATATAACACCCATAGAGAAAAGCACACGAACCTGAAGTGTACAGCTAGATGAATTTTCACAAAGGGAACACACCTACAGAACTAGCACCCAGATCAAGAAACAGAGTATGACCAGCGCCTCCTCCCCCCAAGGATAACCACTATCCTGACTGCTAATGGCACAGATTAGTCTTGCCCGGTTTGTGTCTTTATGTAAATGGAATCATACAGTATGCATGCTTCTGTGTCTGGCTTCCTTTGTTCCACATTTGTGGATGTTTGTGAGATCCATCCGTGCCACTGTGGGTAGCTGTAGTCTGTTCATTCTCATTGCTGTATAGGAGCGGTTCACAAATGTTTTAGTCTTAGGACCCCTTTACACTTAAAAATTATTGAGGACTCCAAAGGGCCTTTGTTTGTGTGGATTATATCTATCGATATTTACTGTATTAGAAATTAAAACTGAAAAATATTTAAAACCCAAGAACACACAAACACACATTCTATTATTGTGTGTCAGAGCAATGAAGTTATTACAAGTCATGGAGCCTCTTGGAAACTCCACGGTACACCCGTGAGAGGACAAGAGTGAGAGAAGCAGATGACTTCTTTGTATTATTATAAAAATAGTTTTGGGGCTTCCCTGGTGGCGCAGTGGTTGAGAGTCCGCCTGCTGATGCAGGGGACACGAGTTCGTGTCCCGGTCTGGGAAGATCCCACATGCCGCGGAGCGGCTGGGCCCGTGAGCCATGGCCGCTGAGCCTGCGCATCCGGCGCCTGTGCTCCGCAACGGGAGAGGCCACAGCAGTGAGAGGCCCACGTACCGCAAAAAAAAAAAAAAAAAAAAAAAATAGTTTTGACCCTGCAGACCCTCCAAAAGGGTCTTGAGAATCCCCCAGAGTTCCCTGGATCACACTTTGAGAACCATTGCTGTATAGTAGCCCTTGGTAAATATACCACAGTTTATCCATTCAGCTGGAGAAAGATAGTTTCCTGTTTGGGGCTGTTAGAAATAATTCTTCTATAAGCAACTGAGTACATACATTTTTTCAAACTTTAAAAAAAAATTATTGGGGGCTTCCCTGGTGGCACAGTGGTTGAGAGTCTGCCTGCCAGTGCAGGGGACACGGGTTCGAGCCCTGGTCTGGGAGGATCCCGCATGCCGCGGAGCGACTGGGCCCGTGAGCCACAACTACTGAGCCTGCGCGTCTGGAGCCTGTGCTCCGCAACAAGAGAGGCCCGTGCACCGCGATGAAGCGTGGCCCCCGCACCACTAGAGAAAGCCCACGCGAAGCAATGAAGACCCAATGCAGCTAAAAATAAAATTTAAAAAAATTTTTTTAAAAAAGAGGAAGTATTTTTTTAAAAAGAGAAGAGTGGAAAATAAATTTTGGCCTAAGCAACAGGAAGAATGGAGGTGCCATCTGCTGAGATGGGAAGGACTTTTGAGGGAGCCAGCTGACGGTGAAATATCAGGAGTTCTGTTTGGGACACATTAAGTTTAAAGACATCTATTAGACATCCAGGTGGGGACGTTGAAGGTAGTAGTTCAAGGAGACATCCAGGCTGGAGACATACATTTGGGTGTCGTCAACCAAGAGAGTATTTAAACTTTTCTCTTTTTTTTGGCCGTGCTGTGTGGCATGCGGGATCTTACTTCCCTGATCAGGGATCAAACCCGTGGCCCCTGCAGTGGAAGCGCCGAGTCTTAACCACTGGACCGCGGGGGAAGTCCAAGAAAACATTTAAAGCCATGATGTTGGATGAGGTCACCAAGGAAGGGAGTGTATATAGAAAAGAGAAGAGGTCCAAATCTGAACCTCAGGGCTCTCCAATGTTAAAAAGTAAGTGAGATAAGGAAGAATCAGCAAAAGAAACTCAGAGCGGGTGCCATGCAATGCAGAAGGAAAGAACAACAAGTGTCCTATAAAGCTGTAAGAATTAAAAGGATGATTTATATAAGCTCTTAGCACAGTGTCAGTCCCACTCTAAACCGGAGGAAATGGTAGCTATGATGACGATGATGATGACGATGATAATTCATCTACTAAAGGCTTATTTGTTGCTCCTTCCTTCTGGTCACCAAAAAGAGAATACTGGCTCTTAAGTAAATAATAAAAATCCAAGGTAAGAAGCCCAAGGTCTCACTTGAATTAAATGTAAATTTGGATGAGGGTCTGAATCTAAAAACTGGGTGGGATTAAAGTAACTAAACTGTTGCTGTTAAAAACTGGTAATTATTCGGGAATTCCCTGGCAGTCCAGTGGTTGGGACTCCGTGCTTCCACTGCAGGTGGCACAGGTTTGATCCCTGGTCGGGGAACTAAGATCCCGAAAGCCACATGGCGTAGCCAAAAAGCAAACAAACAAAACCCCGGTAATTATTAAATTGGGCTCAAGCTTCCTATGGTTTCTGTATTCCCTCTCTAGATCTAAGGCACCAGCATCCAGTTGCCCAAGGCAGAGACCTGGGACTAAGACCTGTTAACTTTATGTCACAATCACCTTTTTTTTCCCCACATATGTAACCATTTGAGAACATTCAAAAAAATATGGAACGCTGCCCCAATTTGCGTGTCATCCTTGCGCAGGGGCCATGCTAATCTTCTCTGTATCCTTCCAATTTTAGTATATGTGCTGCTGAAGCGGGTACCACAATCACCTCTTGATCTTGTTTCTTCTTATTCAACGTCATGGTGACTACCTTACTTTGTGCCACCATCACTTCTTTTTTTAAAAAAAATAAATTTATTTATTTATCTAACTCTTTTTTTAAAAAAATTAATTAATTTATTTATTTTTGGCTGTGTTGGGTCTTCGTTTCTGTGCGAGGGCTTTCTCTAGTTGCGGAGAGCGGGGGCCACGCTTCATCGCGGTGCACGGGCCTCTCTTGTTGCGGAGCACAGGCTCCAGACGCGCAGGCTCAGTAGTTGTGGCTCACGGGCCCAGTCGCTCCGCGGCATGCGGGATCCTCCCAGACCAGGGCTCGAACCCGTGTCCCCTGCACTGGCAGGCAGACTCTCAACCACTGTGCCACCGTGGGAGCCCCCCACCATCACTTCTTGTTTAGACTATTTCCAAAGCCTCCTACTTAGTTTGTTTGTTCTACCATCTGTCACTACCCCAATCCAGGGATTCGAAACCATTTTTGTGCCATAGAACCATTTGGCAGTCTGAGAAAGTTTCTGGACTTATTTTCAGAATTAAAAATATATATTTTATTTTATTTTTGGCTACGTTGGGTCTTAGTTGCGGCATGCGGAATCTTTATTGTGACATGCGGGATCCTTTGTTTTGGCACGCGGCTCTCTAGTTGTGGCTCACATGCTCAGTAGTTGTGATACACAGGCTTAGTTGCCCCGGAGCATGTGGGATCTTAGTTCCCCAACCAGGGATCGAGCCCGCGTTCCCTGAATTGGAAGGCAATTCTTAACCACTGGATCGCCAAGGAAGTCCCTCAGAATCGTTTTGTGGTTTTTTTTTAATAAATTTTATTTATTTATTTTTGGCTGCATTGGGTCTTCGTTGCTGCAGGCAGGCTTTCTCTAGTTGCGGCGAGCGGGGGCTACTCTTCATTGCGGTGCGCAGGCTTCTCATTGCGGTGGCTTGTCTTGGTACGGAGCACGGGCTCTAGGCGCGCGGGCTTCAGTAGTTGTGGCCCGTGGGCTCCAGAGTGCAGGCTCAGTAGTTGTGGCGCACGGGCTTAGTTGCTCCGTGGCATGTGGGATCTTCCAGGACCAGGGCTCAAACCCGTGTCCCCTGCATTGGCAGGCAGATTCTTAACCACTGCGCCACCAGGGAAGTCCTTCTCAGAATGTTTTTAAATGCATAAAACAAAGTACACAGGATGATAAAGAAAACCAATCACACTGCGATACAGCTATCAAAATATTTTCTAAAAGAAATGTGTACTATAGCAACATACAGGATTAACAGAGTTCTTGTGGGTCTACTGTAATTTCAAAGAAGTGATGAGTACATAAATGATATTTCGAGACATCTGCATCAACTGCAGTGTGATATGAAACCATCTTTGATTTCTATTGGTGACCAAGTCACAGGTACTGCTAATGTCACTGTAGTTTGTTGTCTACATTTGTAAATAAAGAAAGCACTACATTTCAGAGTTTGATGAAAACGAAGTTGTGATTTTTTTTCCATCCACGTTCGTACCCTGTGAATTCTATACATTGACCCTTGTGGACCCCAGGTTAAAAACCCTTACCTTAATCTATTGGTGCAAAAATGCTTGAAGTGACTGTAGAGATCTTTATTCCTAAATGGGGAGAAGAAAAAGATGAAAACGGGGAACAGTAACATCCAAAACGTGTGCCATTAATTCCTGTACATTTTGCCAAAGGTGGGTTACAAAGTCAGTCTGAGCTTCCTAGCAGCCAAGGGAATGTTCTGTCCAGAACTTTCTCAGTTTAAAACCTTGATTGGGGCCGTGATCCTTAGTACTCTGCGTTGTGTAAAACCTTGATTGGTTATACAGTGCTGTATGTCAATTATATCTCAATATAACTGGAAAGGAAAAAAAAACCCCTTGATTGGCAGCCTCTTGCCTAGTCTAACGCCCCATGGCCAACACCACTGTACATTCCCATCCCGCACGGCCCAGCCTAGTGGACACAACCGCCGAGAAAGAGCCGGGGGCCAACCCCCTAGTCCACTCCGGCGGGGCGTTCCCAGCCCCCACCCCTAGGCGCGCTCCCTCCCAAACGCAGGACCGAAGTCCCTTGCGCCGGGACATAACCTCTTCCCCGCCCTCCTTGGAGATAGCCCCGCCCACTCCGCTCCTCCCGCCTTCGGAAGGGTTTCTGCCTTGGCAGTTATCACGGACTGTGTGTCTCACCCATGACACAGGGTGCCCCTGGCACACTAACGGGGTCCTGAAAAACCCGATTACGGAACTGAAGCAAAGGGAATTCCATTTCGCACGAATGAGCGCAGTTTCCCACGGCCTCACGGTAGCTTGCGCAGAGAGCGGCCGCCAGGGGGCGATGGTTGGCTCATGGCGTGTCCTCCCCAAGCCCGGCCCCCGGCGGCGCCCTCTAAAACACGTACTTCCGCTTGATTCTCCCTCTTTTCTCTTGTCCTCCATTCTATCTGCGGCTGGATTTGATCATCGCCATGGTAAGTCCATCCATTACCATCGGGTCTGGGGTGGCTTTCCGAGATCTGAGGTCCCCGCGAGCTCGCCGGTGCCGTGGGCTGCGCCGATGTGCGGGACCCTTTTTAAGGCCTTTTCCAGAGGAGATGGAGTTGGGCCACGGCTCCAGTCCGCGGGCCTGCTGGGAAGCGAGCGAGCACCTGGGGAGGGGCGGGCTGTGCCGGCCCCGCGAGGTCCGAAGGGGCGCTCTGTGCTCCAGGCCACTGCTCAGGCGGGCAGGGATTCCCGTTTTTCCCGGAGCGAACTCTGTTTCGGGGGCAAGAAGTCGAGGGGGTACCCCAGAAATCGTGGCCTGACTTCGGGCTGCCTGCGACACGCGGGATGTTCCTGGCATCGAAAAGGCAATGTAGGCTGCTGGTTTTCGAAGAGTGTTTTTACTTGGGTGCCAGGACCCTTCCACGCTATGAGATTACAGGACTTTTTAGCCCTTTGTTAAGGGACTTGAACGTCACCTCGTAGAAACGCCTGGATCAAGGGGTGATGTGCTCTGAATGTGACGGGAAGCTGGGAAAGTCATCCTTGGGAAAGTGACGTTTTAAATAGAGTTAGAATTAATACCAAAATGGTCAGAGGGCTAGAACAGATTTACCGAAAGTCAGGGACTTTGTGTAAATCTTTTTTTTTTTTTTTTTTTTTTTTTTTTGCCGCTCCGTGTGGCTTTTTGGATTCCCGACCAGGGATCGAACCGGGGTCCCCAGCAGTGGAAGCGTGGGATCCTAACCACTCGACCACCAGGGAAGTCCCAGTACTCTGGTGTATAAAATAGTGCGCTGAGACTCACTGACTTGCAAGGGATTGTTCCTGAAAACCACGTGCTTTAGTCCCCGCCATCTCTGACTATAGTCCTCTCAGTCCTGGGTTGACAGCAGGGAAGACTGGAACACGCCCTAGCCTTGGAGCAGAGAGGACCTGGGTTTGAATCCCAGCCAAATCTGCACATTAATACTCTGCTTTGGGGCAGGTTACCTACCTCCCTGACTACTGATTTTTCTTTGAACAGTGGGAATTATGGTATCTGCCTCCGGAGAAGTGAGGAACAAAGCAAAGGGCAGTGATGGGTTTAGCATCGAGAGGGTTGTTCTTGGTATATGTTAAGCATTTGAATATTTGTTGGATTTAGGGAGTTCTTGACTTTGAATCATTGGAGCAAGTTCTGGTATTGCTGTTAAATTGATTGCATTTCCTTCCCAGTCTTCTCACAAGACTTTCAGGATCAAGCGATTTCTGGCTAAGAAACAAAAGCAGAATCGTCCCATTCCCCAATGGATTCGAATGAAAACTGGTAATAAAATCAGGTAAAGGCAAACACTCCCCACCCTTGTGTTTTGTTGAACTTAGGATTACTTTGGGGGTGTAAATGCACAATTGAAAGTTATATGCAGTTTAATTCGTCCTGAGCCACCATTCTGAAATTCTTTTGGGGTTTTTTTTTTTAATGTGCTTCTTCTGGGTTTCTGGACACAGTCAGCCCACAGCTGAGCTTAGGGGCAGACACTCCTCCAATATTTGTTAATTTCCTTGTTGTCTTCAGTCTGAGCCAGAACATAAGATGGAAGGCCCATTTCCTTAATTCATTTAGCCAGTTACACATGTGAAATCACCACCCACTGTAGCTTTATAGGCCAATTAATTGCAACCTTTGGTTTATCGTGTCCTCATCCAATGATGGTAGGACCTGCCTTTATAGTTGTGAGGAGTGAAAGAAATGTATATAAAGCTCAGTGCCTAGCTCAATAGAGGGTACCTGCAGTTATCAGATGCTGGTCTCTTGCTCTGTGGTCTGGCTTTTTGTGTGTGTGTTGTCTAACTTTTAAAATGTATTGAAAGCAGGTTGCAATTACAGTGCTCCGTTTCGTGGAAGTACTGACATAATCCTGCTGAAAGAAAATCTGTGTTGATCATTTTTGATTTTGCCTTTTATGGGGGTAAAATCATGACAGATTGACATGAACATTTCTGAGATGGCCTTAGCTCTGCAAATAACTTGGCTGTGGTATTGAAGTGACTGAGGGTGTTAATGTAGTATTAAAATTATGCAAGAGCTTTTTTGTATGTGTGACCTATTATGTAGAATTACTGGTTTTGATATAATTTAGAAGGGGAGGTTATATGTCTCTGGGTCTACCCCAGGTCTGTTGAATCAAAAGTGAATGAGCGTACACTTGGGGAGAGGAGAGAGATTCTCCATTACTTAGTCCCTATAAGGAACCAGTGTATGTTTTCCTTAGCCTGGAATCATTTTGAGAGGTAAAAAATTGCTTTGACTAGTTCTTTAACACATCTAGCAAATCGTTTTTTACTCTCCAAAAAGAGCTCCAAACTTGTTAATGGTAGGGAAAGTGGAACGCTTTTTCTTTCAAAGATTTTTATGGTACTTCAAGGCAAAGTTTGTGGTCAGTAAGAGCAGCTAAATTGAGGTCAGACTGCCTTTGTAATTTGTGATTTCCTTCTGTGTAGGTACAACTCTAAGAGAAGACATTGGAGAAGAACCAAGCTGGGTCTATAATGAGCCTCACATATGAATTCACACACATTATCAGAACATCACTAGTGTCTGGAACAGCTGCCTGTGTTTGATGCTCTCTCCTCTTGAGCTTTCCTCATCACTGCTCACTGTGTAGCTCTGTAATAAACATGTGAACCTTTCGTTGGAACTGTTATTGTATTATTCTGGTTTGTGATGATGTACTGAATAAATACTCCTCCTATCAGATGTAACACAGGACTGTCCAATGATAGAAATGTTCTCTAGTTACCAGGTACTTAGAAGTATGTCTAGTAAAAGTAAGGAACTGTTTTTTTTAGATTTTGTTGTTTAATAGCTCCCTGTAACTTGCAGCTCTTATACCTACTGTTATGGGAAGTGCATGTATGTGTCATCCTCATACCTGAGGGTAGCACCTTCTTAAAATAAAAGGCTTTTGTGGGTGGGGGGCATGCCACGATGCAGGCAGGGTCTTAGTTCCCTGACCAAGGATCGAACTCGTGCAGTCTTAACCACTGGACTGCCAGGGAAGTCCCATAAAAAGCATCTTCATATACTATTCTGTGGTGCCAGTCCTCAGAGTAGGAATCATGTGAGCCAGGGATTGGCAAACTGGTCTGCTGACTGTTTTCGTATGGCCTGTGAACTAAAATTATGCATTTTAAAATTTATTTTAAAATAAATTTATGTATTTATTTTTGGCTGCGTTGGGTCTCTGTTGCTGCGCACGAGCTCAGTAGTTGTGGCGCACGGGCTTAGTTGCTCCGTGGCATGTGGGATCCTCCCGGCAGGGCTCGAACCTGTGTCGCCTGCATTGGCAGGCCAATTCTTAACCACTACCGTGCCACCAGGGAAGTCCCTCCATTTTTATTATTTATTTATTTATTTATTTATTGCAGTATATGGGCCTCTCACTGTTGTGGCCTCTCCCGTTGCGGAGCACAGGCTCCAGACGCGCAGGCTCAGCGGCCATGGCTCACGGGCCCAGCCGCTCCACGGCATGTGGGATCTTCCCGGACCGGGGCACAAACCTGTGTCCCCTGCATTGGCAGGCGGACTCAACCACTGCGCCACCACGGAAGCCCGGCCCTGCATTTTTAAATGGTTGAAAGAAATCAAGAGTATTTTTGACATGTAATACATTCGAATTTACAGGCCAGGCACTATTCTTAGGTACTTGAGTTTAACTGATGGATAGACAGATGTACGTTAGGCTAGTAATGGGCCAATACACAGGCCATATCTAATGTCTGGGAAAGATGGGAGAAAGCCAGAGTGCCCCAGCTAGTTACCTGTGGAATTAGGCTGGAACTGCCGCAGAGGAAGGGGGTCAGGTTTAGTGCTAACTCCCTACCCAGCTTGTAGGGAGCCTGCACTGGACAGAGCCGATAAAGCAAGTGACAGGAGCTGTCAGAGTGCAGCAAATGGTGGTTGCACCCCTTGCACAACCGAGGGGCCCCTGACCTGTAACCAAACTAGGAGGCTCATGACCACGGTCCTTAAGAAGCACCACTGTGCTCACCAGAATTTTGAAGGGTGGGCTGCAGAATACCCACCAGCCCAAGAACGTGGGAGCTGCCAACAGATCTTGGAAAAACACTTCCACTTCCTTTACAAGCTCCTAGATTTCAAATATTTTCTCTTATTGCATCAGTGTTTCCTTCATATTCAAAGACAGCTGCCACTGTGTGAACAGCAGTTGGTAAATGTTAATGTGCTAAAAATGTTATTCAAGTCCAAGGCAGAGGGACTTGATACAATTAATTAACAGTCATGTGATGGAAATTTCTAACCATTTTGGAGTATTAGGAATACCTCACCCTCACCATTCAGAGTAGGTAGGCTCCTCGCTGAGCCCGGGGAGGTTATGACAAGGCCAAGGTCACACGGCAGAGGGAGCTTTCTCTATAGACCTTGAATAAGGAGGATTAAAATTGAAAGGGAAAATGATGGACACCAGGGTTGGTTGGCCGTGTAAAAGGGGTTTCTTTTGAGCCTGGGGTTGGACACAGGTCCTGGATCCAGTGGTTCCTCACTGCCTCGTGCAGTAAGTGCCAGTATTTGTTTCCTCAGTGGACTAGATTGCTGCTTCCTGAAGGGAGGAATGGGAGCTTTGAGATATTTAGGACTTATATTTACCTATAAGAGGTGCAGCATAAGATCAGCTTTTAAAAGACAGTCAACTCCGTGGTGATGCTGGCCATCCCTCGATGGCCTACTGAGAAGCAGGCAGCAGCAGAGTGGTGGCCAAGAGTTAGCAGTCTGGAGTGGCAAGACTGCATAGTCTGCATTCAAATCCGGCTCTTCATGCACCAGCTGTAAGCCTCAGTGTCATCTGCAATGTGGGACCTCCCTCAGAGGGCTTTGAGGATGAAGTTAATAACGCACTGAAGCAGTTGACTCAGCGCCTAACTAGGAAACGGGGAAGAGGAATGGGGAGTAAGCAGGATTAAAGTTTTGGTGTGGACCCCTCCCCAGCAGACGTGGGCTGTATGCTGGATAAAGCAAAAATAAGACACAGGGACCGAAGACAGTGGGAAGGGGCAGGTTGTCAGGGGGGACATCAGGCAGAGCTGGCATGGAGTTGGTGCTTAGTGTCAGCCTTTGGAGAGATGCCAATTCCCTTCTAGTTCCAGGATTTGAATTTGGAGTAGAGTAACCCCTCGAGGTCTTGGAAAGAAAGGAGGTAGGGTGACTTGAGGACGAAAATCCTGGGCCTTACACTCACCTCCAGGTGAATCCCACCTCTGTTACTGAACCAGCTGTGGAAACATCAGGAGACTTATCCAGAATCATACCTACTTCGGGTTTGTAAGGATTGAATGATAATGTCGGTCAAGGATCAGTCCTAGCAGATAATTCTCCCATTTTACAGATGAAAAAAAGTTAAACAATTCTCAAACAAGAAAATAAAATTTAAAAAAGAGAAGGGCTTCCCTGGTGGCGCAGTGGTTGAGAGTCCGCCTGCCAATGCAGGCGACACCGGTTCGTGCCCCGGTCCGGGAAGATCCCACGTGCCGCGGAGCGGCTGGGCCCGTGAGCCATGGCCACTGAGCCTGCGCGTCCGGAGCCTGTGCTCCGCAACGGGAGAGGCCACAACAGTGAGAGACCCGCGTAACGCAAAAATAAGTAAATAAATAAAAAAGAAGAAAGGGGAATTCCCTGGCAGTCCAGTGGTTAGGAATTGGTGCTTTCATTGGCCAGGGTAAAAAAAAAGTCCCACAATTCTCATTCCTGCTGATAGCAACTAACAGTTTGAGTACTTAACATGGCAGGTAGCTGCTGTCAGCAGGAATGGCAATGAGAACCAGATTGAACAGGAAGTAGATTTTCTTGGAAAGAACAGGGTGAAGTATTAACCATTTACCCTTCCCTGAGGGTGTTTTAGCCCAGAGAAGCAAACATGAAGCCCCTGCTTATACAAAACGTTGGGTATTTGGGGAGCCAGAGGCAAGTATGACCCTCACAGGTATTGCAGTCAAGAGAGCGTGCCGTGCATCTGTACCTGTGCACATCAGATATGCCCGTCTGGGAACGGAGGGAGGGAGGGTGGGTGGCAAACCCTCGGAGAAAACTAATCGATGCCTTAACATGTGTTTACAAAGGGTGAAGGAGGAATGACTTGCCTGGGGAGTTGCGGGAAGGCCTCACCCAGGTTCACGAGGAGGCAAATGGTGTGTGTGTGCGCATGCGTGGTTGGTAGGTAGGTAGCTGGGGCTTAAGGCACTAGGGAAAGAATCTGGAGAATCGGGCACATCATGAAAACTCAGGCATAACGAGTAGGGAATGGCACTGTTCTCACTACTCACCCTCTGTAGGAGCACCTCATTCACCACACTGGTGGGCCGACACCTGCACTTGAACTATGGTCACTGATGAGGCCACCTGCAGCTGCATGTCCAAAGCTGTCACTTGAGACCCAGGAGCAGTGGGACAGGACTTGTGCCTCAGCCTGACCCTAAGTGGAACTGCGTTCTCTCTTTTTTTAATTAATTAATTAATTGATTTAGTTGTGGCTGCATTAGGTCTTTGTTGCTGCGCGCGGGCTTTCTCTACTTGTGGCGAGCGGCGGCTACTCTTCGTTGCAGTGCACGGGCTTCTCATTGCGGTGGCTTATCTTGTTGCGGAGCACGGGCTCTAGGCGCGCGGGCTTCAGTAGTTGTGGCACTGCGCCACCAGGGAAGTCCCAGCCCCATTTAATGTTAACACATGGCTAATCGTGAAAGCTACAGTCACAGTGCAACCTACCTTACCGTTTAAATGAAAGAAGACAGGCATTACCAACAGTTAGGTACCAGAGTAACTGAAGTAAGACAAGATATAGTCCCAGTTTTACAGCTACAATGAGCCTGCTACTAACAAACCACGTCAGCTTTGGGGACTTCAGTTTTCTGCCGCTCAAAATGAGGAAACTGGTTCTAAATCATGAACCTCTAATGCTACATTTGTAAGTCTCTAAATGTATATCTGATTCATTAGAAAAAGTGTTTCCACTGGGGCCACCAAAGGGAGAAAGGCATTGGAACAGAACGCAAATGACCTACAAAGAAACAACTATTAGTTTAATCAGAAAGCCTGTGGATCTAGTTCAAGGTCAGCTGCCTCCGACTCCCACTTGTTCATTCCGCAAACACCCAACACAGACTACGAGGTGGATGCATGGCGCTGGGTGCTGGGTGCTGGGCTGCAGGGGTGAGCCACATCCACAGGCCCCCATTTTCACCGGCTCACAGTCTGCAGGGGACAGACGAATGTGCAGACAGCCACAGCCCCCGATGCTAAGTGCTGTGCTGAGGAAGGCACTAGGTCCTTGGGAACCTGACCTGAACATGGGAGTGAGGAGCTGAGGAAGAGCAAGCTGAGCCCCGAAGGCCAAAGAGGAGTTAGATCTGGCGGGTGGAGTGTGGTGTGTTCATGTGCTACACAGAGGATACAGACTGTGAAAAGGCCCAATCAGGAGAAAGCTGGGAGGGACTTCCCTGGTGGTCCAGTGGTTAAGACTCCACGCTTCCACTGCACGGGGCGTGGGTTCGATCCCTGGGCGGGGAACTAGATCCCACATGCCATGTGGGCAACCCCCCCCTAAAAAATAAATAGAAAGCTGGGAGAATTTAGGGAACTGAAAGTCACTCTGTGTGGCAGAAGTGTGGGAAGGGGACATACTCGGGG